TGCCTTGCTGCGTGCACCTCAGGACGAGACGTGCAAAGCTCACTGTTCTGTTGGGAAGAAGTGTCGTGTTTTGAAGTCTTTTTCCCCTCTTTTTGCGTGTGGATATCGAGAGATCTGAAGCGCCCATGTGTTTGTGCAATGTCCACGTGCTTGGCTGTTTCTTGATGTCCACTGGCTGCTGCCTCTTACATCTAAGGCTGCGATACTTGAAAGCGAAGCGGTCGTGTAGTGCTGACATAAAAGGAAAAGAAGCGGCACAATTTAAGCTCCTTTCTGTAGTATTTGGTTTGGCAGCACAGCTTTCAATTCATTTTTATCTAAGGGCTGTTCTGCATCCCGCATTTTTTATTTATCAGACACGGTAAAAACACTAAATCATAGAACAATTTACCCTGCAGCACCCCGAGGTGTAAATGGGATTTGGGAATAAGCGTTAAGGGGTGACGCAGTCAACGAGGGGCCGTCGTTGCTCGTTTGCAGCTTCGGCCCCGGCCGCTTTCAAGGTGCCCGGCCCTCCCGTTGGAGCCGTCCCGCGCGCTGCGAATGGCCGTTCTGTGTTCTCGCTGCGTGCGCTGGAACATGCCCAAGTCCACGGAAATGAGAGCCCTGATTGTTCGGGCTGACATTTTTTGTTCTCTTTCAAAGGGTTTTTTTTTTCCTCCTTTGCACCGTGCACATCCCGGGCTTTGATAAATGAGTCTCTCTCAACGCTGTGGTAACCAACCTGTGCTAATATTCATTATGCAGAACCCGCCAGGAAATGGTGTGAGCTGGGGAAATAGAAAACCTTGAAAGGAGGGGGAAAAACAAAGAAACTTTTTTTTCCTGGGGAAATTGCTTTCTAATACTTAACATTTCTGGGGTGCTTCAGAACTTTGTGGCAAAGCTCTCCTGATGGCATCGTACCGACGAGCTGCTGCTTTAGACCCCCTGAAAAGGGGTCCAAAGGGGGCCTGGCCTGATGTAAGAGGTGCTGCAAGAGCCACCAAGCCATAGGCTGGGTGTGAATGTGCCCTGTGCCACTGAGAGCAGAGCCCTGCAGCAGGCAGGTGGCATCCCAAGGGAAATGACGGGATGAGGAGACAGAAGAGCTCATGGCTCTCAGGATCGCGGTCACTGTGCAGAGGTGACACCTTGTTGCTCTCGCCCATCTGCTTGGTCATTTGTTTCCCTTTTTTCTTTCTTTTTGCATCCTATGACCTAGACACTCCTGCAGATAAATACCTTCATAAAACAGAATTAAGTTGCTCCAAAAGGAGCTGTGCAACGTGCTGGCTTCAAGTGCTCCCGTCATCTCCCTCGACCTTGCTCAACGACTCCTGGTGCTTCGCTGGCGGTTTGACAACCTCCCCGTTGTACTGGTGACTCGATTGCTGGAATTATTGTAATTCAAATCCCCCTCGGGTGGTTTTTAAGCCCTGCGAACAGTGTTACCAGCGCAGCAGGGAGCACAGCATCTGTGAGCAGGGCTGCATCTCCATGTGTCCAGAGACATACGGACACACAGGCATCCCTGGGCGCTATTCACGGGCCTCAAGGTGCTTCTGAAAGCTCTGGTGCTGACTTTGCCATGCTCAGGTGCCTGGATTTGGGTGTTATTGGCCTTTTAATCTCCTTTTGACGACAGAGCTGGCCGTGCCACCCAATGTGGGATCTGCCTTGGAGGACGTCGAGTTCTGCTGCATCTTTCTTTGATATCCCGTGTTCCGGTCTTCCTTTCCACGGGGATGTTTCCAAGACGGAGCATGGAGCAGGCAGGGCTGCTGCATTAGCCAGGGCAGGCCCTGGAGCTCCGTGGGAAGCACAGAGTTTAAGCAGTTTGTTTACAGCTCGCTCTTTTTCCAGCACACAAATATTTGGGAAACGCTCTGTCACTTGTTACGGTAGTAAGTGCTTCAACAAAGCCCGAGAAAGCCACAGTTCCCAATTCAGTAGTTCATCCATATTCAGGGCTTTTTTTTCCTGGATCAAGGCTCTAGTTTCTGCCCCAAAGACCTTGTATTTGTGGAACAGGCGGCATGACTGGCCAGGCTGCACATGTATCATTTCCTAGCAGGACCAACTGCAAAAAAACAGCAATTTCAATCCATTTCTCCAGTCCAGATTGCATCAGAGGAATGAACAAAAGGGTCCTTTTGAACAGATTTTGTTGCACTGTTGTAAATTTGTGTGCACTTGACTGTGCGTGAATATGCTCCAACTGATTTAAATCTAATTTACATCCCCTTTGCTTTCCCTGCAACCCGCACAGCCTATTTTAAATAGAGATAATTGTGTCTGGGATGGGCTTGCGTCCCTCCCGTGCATTGTCCTTCGAGTGCTGTGACACCTCTAGAGACATCTCTAGTAACGTGTGTGACAATGAGATTTGAAATTCCTACGTTTCCTGGATTTCTACAGCAAACAAAACACCAAACACCCGCAGCAAACCATGTTAATTTAAAGGGTAGATTTTCAGATATCAGGAAGGGAAGGGAAGAATATAATCCGTTTTTTGTGAGTGGAGTTAGGTCATCTCTAAAAGCCTCTCAGAATATTATCTTCCAAGCTAATCGCTGTATTGACATTTGCCCGTTTCATTAGAGCTCAGTTTTTACTGCATTGCTGAGGTTGGAACCTGACTCATCTGTCATGGTCAAGGGCTGGTTTGTAATTTCATGATGGTAGAATAAAAATTTTCTCTCTTAGTTTAACTGCTTGGGCTGAAGTGGTGTTTGCAGAAATCCCAAAACTGGTGGGTTTTGACTTGCCAGTTCCTACTTGTTTTTGTCATAGGTTTTTATTTACTTAGCAAAAACAGTGCTAATTTGAAAACAATAATGTTGAAACACTTCTGAAAAGAGGTAATTAAACCTACATACACGTTTGTTATGTGTCCTGTAATAGATGCAAGGGCTAAAAGAAGGAGAAAAAAAAAATGTTATCTAAAGCTGCAAAGAAAAAACAATTCAGGCCAGAACTAAGTCAATTATCCATGTAATAAACCTCCACGGCTGCTGACTGAGCAGATAAGTGCATGGTCTCTACAGCCACTGACAGTAAACTCTGCAGCAAAAGGGAGGTGTCAAAAAAGTTTTATGCACGAGCAGAACACAGCTCAGCATCTGAAAGGAGACAAAAGTTGTTTGCAGCATCCTCCTTTACCCTGGGTAAGAATTCTTCTGGCATTGCACTCATAAACCCAGAAATGCTTTGCATCATTATTATGTAAATGTGTTTCTTCCCTTCCAGACTGTTTCTAAGGTTTGCTGGCTGCACTGCAGCCACCTTCTCACACCCACATGAACGTTATCTGGAGTTGGCAGCGCAGTCAGGGTTGTGATGAAAGACGTTAACTCTGTTCACACAACGGTGACCTATTTTGTCTGAAAGTGATTTCCCTGGTGCATCACTGTCTGCTTTCCGTCCAGTCACTAAGTGGTATTTTGCCACTTTTTTTTTTTTTTAAAGGAAGATGCCTGGTTTGGATTGTGGAAGGGTAACAGACAAAACACAGTGTGATTTTTTTTTCCCCTGTAACATGTGAATAAGAAAATGCTGAACGGTGGTAGTGGCTGTCCTGCCTTGAGCCTCAGTGCATGCAGAAAGGGTGACGGGCACGACGGGACGTGGTGCCTGAGGGAGCTGAGGGGAACAGCTCGGGATGGGCTCTGGGAAGAGGGGCGAGGCAGGAGCAGCCCACGGAGTCCATCCGGCCCCAAACGCAGGTCGCATGCGGAGGTGTTTTGGGAGCCTGAGGCCAAAGGACGCGCAGGGGCAGCCGCTGCAGGGGCCCTGTGTGTCGTGCGGCGCCCGCAGCCCCGGCGCTGGGGGGTGAGCAGCCGTGGGTGGCTGTGCCCTTCGGGGTGATCGTGACATCGTGATCGTGTCCAGACGCCGGCAGAAGCAGCACTTGGTAGCCAGGGCGCTTGGGGAGCAGAAATTTAGCTGCACCAGAGCGTTAGGAACAGGCAGCGGTAGGGCCTGGGATTTGGAGGATTACCATTTTGTGTGTAGGTGCCTTACACGGCACGTTAGTGTGCAAGTCTCTTTGTGGATTTAACCAATTAGCCTTTCTCTGCATCAGCACTTCTGCACCTCCCAGGAGCGCCCAGGGCTAGGCACGCAAAACGCTGCAAGCGTGTCGGAGACCGCCTTGTTAGAGGCCTGCTAGCACCTCATATAGGCAATCCATATGTAAATAGAGCGTTTTACATGCGGGATGTGCTCAGTCATTCCATCATCAATCTCTCCAGTGGGCAGCGGACCAAGAAAATCTGCTGTCATCAGGCCGAGGGGCAATGATCTTCCTGTGCAGCGTTCAGATCTTCCTTGATCCTTCTCGTGTTGACTGAATCTTGCACCATTTGGCTGGTAGAAGATTTCAGGACACGTTCAGCTGCTTTGTTTGTCACCAGTCGCAGGAAGACGGGTGATTTTGCTGAGGAAATGCTTTAAGCACCACTCCTGAACCAACCGCTGCTCCAAAATGGCTGTGTCGGGCGTTTCTGCTGGGCTCCTCCAGGCGCTCATCTGAATGAACTACCTTTCCACGGGAACGGGGTCCCGGCGGGAAGCGCCCGCCCGGCCGCGGGGGGAGAGGCCTCGGCCGCGCCGGGCCCCTCGTGCCGCCCCTCACGGCGCGTCGCGGCCCTGCCCGCCCACTCCCCCCCCCCTCCCTCCGCCTTCCCCCTATTCTTTTAAATCACTTCCATCCACTGCTCCCATTGGCCCCGTGCGCCCGCGGCGTCACGTGGCGCGGCGGCCGCTCCAATGGCGAGGCCGCATACTGGCATGCGGGCGCGGCCCGGCTGCGTTGCTGGGTGCCCATTCGGTGCGTGCCGTGCGTGCGTGCGTGCGCTCGGTGTGAGGGGAGCAGCGCCCCGCGCCACAGCCCGCCCCGCCGCCCGCCCGCCCCGCCATGCCCCTGGCCGCCCGCCGCTGAGGCACCGCGCCCGCCCGGCCCTGCCCGCCCGCCCGGCCCTGCCCGCCGCCTTGCCCGGCACCGAGGGGAGCCGCCGCCGCCGCCGATGCTGTAGCGCCGCCCGAGGTGGGTGCGCGCCCGCCGCCGCCGCCTCGCGGCCCCTCGCGGAGGCTCCGCGTGGGGGACGCGCTCGGCGCGCGCGGGGGGGCCGGAGCCGCTCGGCGCGCACAAAGGGGGGCGGTGTCGGGGTGCCCCTTTATTTATTTATTTATTTCACCGCTTAACGCGCTGCCCGCGCTTGTTTTTGATCCGTTATTTATTTTTATTTATTTCTAATTTTTTGTCCCCGGGCGCAGCCGTTCTCGCGGTTCCCCCCCTCGCCGGGGTTGGTTTGGGTTGCGCGCAGCGGGGCCGCGGGTTCCCCTCGGCGGGGGCGATGCCTCCAGGGAGGGCCCCGAGGGCCGCGGTCAAAGCGCGCTGCCCTCCTCCCATTCCCATTAAGAAATGGATAAAAACCAGCAGCGTCCTTAATAAATAGCGGCTGGTTGTGGAAGGTGCACGTGTCAAATGCTGAGCTTCGCATCCAGCGCTAACAGAGAGGCGCTTGTTTTGTGTACAGCGCTGGAGCCCGCGGCGGCGGGAGGAGGCGCCTCTGCGCGATAATAAAGGCATTTCTGTTAAAGGCTGCTGTTAAATATCTTGCCCTGGCTCCTCGCCGCTTGTCCTGTGGGTCGGGGTCGCTCGGGGTGGCCCCCGGTGGTTTTTGGCGTTTCCTGCCGTTTTTCGGCGCGCGGGAGCGGGCGCGCACAATGCACGGCCTGGGGAGCTCATTGTTCTTGCCCGTGTCGGGAGCGTGTCCGGCGCCTCGGGCCCGGGCACCCACGGACGGAGCAGCCCCCGACGCCTCCTGCTCCTGCCCCTTCCCATCTTCTCCAGGGTGACCTCTCCCTAACCTTGCCAAGAGGCCAAAGAGTGAATCTGGAGCTAAAGGGCAGCAAAACGTTGTTCTTGCCTCATCTTGTCCCCTCTCTGCCCCTGCCATTCTCCGCCTGTAAAGCAGGAGTGCGAAGTGAGGCTCCAAGGGATGCTCTCCTGATCCCATCGCAACTTTTCCACCCTTATCCACTTCCTTCCTGGAATAAAATAAATGAATAAGTAAGACCCTTTATTTGACTGCTGTATTATCAGCACTGGGGGTTTAGGTCTGGGGTTTGCATGCAAGGAGAGCCACTGTCAAGGGAGAATACTTGAGATTAACGCGCCCGGATGGCAAGTGAGTAAAAGGAAGTGTGCAGAGGTTAAAAGGTGACTTTAAGGTGGGCATGGTTTCCGTTCTTGATGACTGTTTAATGGTTTTGTTTTTACAGTGGTGTCTGTAGAAACAATTGCAGTGTGTTGTGAGCTGCTGCACTGGGACTGGGCTGCTCTGTAGATGGAGGTGGCTAAAGTCTCAGAGAGCTCGCTGGTAACTGCAGCTAGCTGCAGGTATTGAGGTAGGTAGAAGGGGAAGAAAAATAACACATGTGCATTAGGGAAAAATGTCTCTTAGATCTTTTGGAAAAAGTGAACTAAGAGCAGGAGCAGCGACTGCTGTAGTTTAATGCTGTAGCATTGGCTGAAACAGGGGACTTCCACATTGGGGTTCTTTAAGAGCTTTTAACGTATACATGGGGCAAAAGAGTTCCTCGGTTTTGTCACCTGTGTAGTGATTGCATCTGCCTTGATTTTGCTTTTAACACAGTTCTATCACTAGCATAGCTTCAGTGCAGCTGGCGGTCGTAGGTTGGGCACAAAAGCTACATTTTGAGTTCAGAGAAGTACAGTAAAATGCTTGTGCTTCCTCTCTGTGGCTTGTGGCTTTCTGATTCCTGGGGCATGTGCATTTGTGCTATGAAGCAACCGAGGAGATTGCTCATCAGCCCAGCAAAACCTTGGCTGTCCCTGAGCACAAGGTAGTAATTTATTTATCTTTATTTAGCACGTAGGGAGGAAAGGAAAGTGGAGTTAGGAGAGCCAAGTCTGCCTTAAGCAGTAATTAGGTAGCTGGATTAAAGAAGGGTGACTTCTTTGCATCTAAGAGTTGCTGTTACTGTAGTGTTTTTTGGCTGTTTTGCTTTGTGTGTGTGCGCAGAGGTTCATGCCATGGACCCGTGGGAATAGATTTTGAGCTGCTGCAGCAAAGGGCACAATCAATAACATTCACAAATGCAGAGAGAGATGGTGTGTGTGATTCTTAATGCTGATTACAGCTTAGATGAGAACAACAGCATTCTGCTGTTGCAGTTTACTAATTGATTTTTGTTTTTAATAAGCATGTTACTTGTGAACTTAGCATCCTCAGTGCAAAATGCATCATTGTTCTAGCCACACTGAGTGGTTATTTCACCCATAAAGATGTTATTTCACTTCTGGGAGTGGGAGGCAAAAACGTGCTATGAGTGTATAGAATTTTGCAGGCGTGTGTTGCCGGCTGTGTAATAGCACAGCAGAACCTGTGTTATCTTCTCAGCTGAGCTGTTCATATGCTAAGATTGCCTGGGGGCGGCTTTGATTTCATTATCTGCCATATTTAAGGACACTGTGTCAGTAACATACATTCTACACCCTGGCGTATGAAAATAGGGCTTGCATTTTCCTTCAATAAATGTATAGTTTAATAAAAATAATGACAATTGGAAGACAATTATTTATGAACTAGTCCTGAAATGAGCTGAGTGAGCAGACACTTGACAGCTATATAAATTCCAAGAGGATGGTTGGGTAGGAATAAACCATTTAAAAAATGGAATTCTCAATGTTCATAGTGTGTAGTCTAGTTATAATCTCTAACGAGACATCAGTGGACTAGCTTTTTGAAATGCCTTTCTGAGAGATTCCCAAGTTGTACGTTAACTAGTTGTGGTACAGCAGGACTAGCGAATGGTGAAACATTGCTTTTGGGGTATGCATGTAGACTATAGCAGGAGTATTGTCCATCAACCTATACTTGTGCAGAGTAAGCTTGGAAATTCATGGAATAGGCACTTGAACAAAGGGCTTTAAAATAACTGTTTTAATAGTGTATAATGGCAGAGCAGTGTATTAGCAGTAGCTAGAGTGTTTTTGGAACAAAGAGGGCTTGTAGGAACTAGATTCCTAGGATCCTTAGAGTTCATGCATAGAGTTCTATCCTCCCAGCAAAAGAAGAAAAATAATCAAAAAGGCAGATGGAGGAGCAGGGAGTTGTACGTGAATGATCATTTTTCTTTTTTAATTGGGAGTGTGCTTGTATTCCAATGATTTTTTTTTTTTTTTTTTTTTAACATTGCTCTATTGCAATGGGTGAATCAGGAGGTGCGAGAAGTTGGCATGGGAGGCATTGGAGGAGGCAAGCGTGGAATTCGGGAATGATGTTGCCAGCGAGCTGCTAGGAGGAAAATCTGGGCCCTTTTCTCGAGGAGTGATAGGAGGTGTTTGGGAGCAGGATCTACAACGCAGCATTGTGCTCTTTATGTTGGCTTGCCAGCAGCATTTTACACGAGCTTTTATAATGTTGGTAGCTGTGCCCAACTGCTCTTTTGAGAGAGGCTGATGTACGAACAAAGGCGTAAACAAGATATGAATACTGCGCTGCTCCTTTTGATTTAGAACTCTACAGAGGCAAGGAATTGCTGTAACTCACTGAGAAAAAAACAAACAGATCGAAATATTAGCTGACTATTCCCGTTTCTGTGGGGTTTTTGTGAATACAAATGTCTGTTTAGCTCACTGAGCATACTGAATGGTAGGCTGACCTAACAAAAAGGGAAACTAACTTGGGTGCTAACATCAATAACGTCAATTTTCATTGTATGCATAATGATTGTTTTTATATATCCTTAGAAATGTGCGCATGAAATGCGCTGCATCGAACCTAGTGGTGGTTCTGTGAATGGTGTGCGTCATGTGTTTGTATTTGACGTTCTAATTCTGTTAAAAATGCAGTTATGAAAATGTAGGACAGCTTAGGTAGTATGTAAATTTGACGCATTCAAAAGTAAGTTTTACAACTGAGTTATCTAAAGCCAGGTAATGCGTTGAAAAATGTAGACTCTGTTCTTCCTCTTACCGAACATGAATGAGAATTTAGTGGACTGTTGTTTTAAAACTCAAGGTAAATGAAAGAAAGTGCTCATTATTTTTAAGGTTTATTCAATCTAAATATATAACCTACTGAGTATATTAAACAATGTTCTCCTGCCGTTACTGGTTCATGCGCATCGAGAGTCAATTTTGATCTATTCCAAATACGTAACTTGATTTCTGTTTTGTAATGATGAATCTTACTTGTTTTTCCGTAGTGTACACAGCGTAGAAGAAAAGATCATGACCATGACTAATGAAGCCTGTGTTTTTTTTGTGGCAGACAAAGCTTGCAAGCCCTGAAGCTTGCCCGCTCCCCCCTCGTGCCCAATTCTTTCCTCTTTTTCCCCTGTCCTTCATGATAGTTGAATGAGTAAGAGGCATGGAGGAGCCTATTGACCAGCTGGCTGGCAAGCAAAATGTAAAATGCAGCTTCTGTCTGGTCAAAACTCTGTGGGAATTTAATTAGAGAGGTTCTTCCTCTCCACCTGCTGCTTTGCACAAAACTTTCAGGAATGTTGGCTAATACCGGGATGAATGTCGAGGCAGGCTTGGATGAAATACAGCGGGAACCAAGAGTTACTGATGTGTAATGAGAGGGCAGGGGATTCAGGGGTGGGGGAGAAGTGGCTTCTGTTCCTCAGGAAACGACCAAAGAAAATGGAAAAGAAGTTCTGTCACCTCGTGCTAATGTATATGTGTATGTGAGCAGCTTCTTATTTGTGTTTGTTTTTTCAATGCAACATCTGGGGTGTCAAGGCATTTCAGTGCAGTGTTCTGGGGTGCTGGTCTAAAGATGTGTGAAGGTCGAAGTGTAATTCATTTTAGGAAACTGGAAGAATTTAAAACGGATGGACCTTGTTTGATCTCAAATGTCTTGTATGATAACTTCTTGTATGATAACTTCTGTTAGTGCCTTTCATTTTAGAGGGATTAGAGGCAACCGGCTTATTACCTGGTTTAAAAAAGTAAAAGAAAAAGCAAGCTTGGTTGATAATTAATCAGTAGGGTGTTGTTACAGATGC